TACGCCGAAGCGCATGGGAAAGCGTGGCCTTCTCGCCCCGTCACCTCGCCGCTCGTGGCACGAGCGCATCTGGCACACGGCCCGATGGCGACAGCCGACCGATCGCAAGCAACCTCGAGCGACGTCGGTTCCTCGATGATGGCGATCCTCGGCCAGGTTTTATCGATAGGGTCCTGGAAGCATCGTCATGGGGCCGGATCAGACCGAAAGAAATGCAATACCAGGCAAAGTTCGTCTTTTTAGCCTTCCCCGTATCAAAATGGGCTCGTCAGGCGTCGTCCGTGAACTCGAGGGTCGTCATTCGCGATCGGAATGGGCATCATAATTCTACAAATGGGTAGCATCGTTTTGCATCGTTTTCGCTTGAGTCGGAATTTTTCAATTGACTTCGACTCTCAAGTCAAAATCTCGCAAGTCCAAACAATTGTTCCGGGGAACAAAACTGGATGGAATTGGAATCTCGGTCTGAGCGGTGAATTTGTCTGACGGATCGGGAAGGGATCCTTGGCGATTCTACAACTTTTCATATTTTTCCTCTTCAAAAATCAATTTAAAAAAAAAAGAGAGGTAAGTCAAGCCCGGTAAAAGACTTCGCATCGAAGTCTGACGTAACAGAGAGTGCAATCGACCCAAAATTTTCATCACCATGAGGGGGATGAAAAGTGTGACTCGCTTTGCCTCCCTCGTGCTTAACGAGGATTGGATTCTCGGAATTGCAATCGGTTTTCGATTTAGCCTCACTTTCCACATCGAACGACAGACGGTCGGAGAAAAAAAAAAAACCCCGAGAGGCCAGAGCCGAGAATATTAGAGTTCATTCATCCTGTTGTCCTCGCACGAAGCAATCGCGAGGCATCCCCGATGAAACATTCTTCTCGAGGGAGGTAGGACATAATGCAACGGCGGATTCTTCGTGCCTCCTTCTTCCCCGATCTCACTCGGAGGATTCCCCGCTGCTCTTGCACGGCGTCTTCCGCGGGAACGGGGTGCAATATCATCCGACGATCCTGGTGCCTTTCGATAGGTTTATGAGCCAGGCAAGAGGTTACTTTTGAAAGGGACATTCGACGTGCCGGGCGCGTGTTAATGCATGTTAAGATGAGTAAATAAATATGAGGAACCCCGTAATTTCCACGGTCGATTTCCGACGTCAACGAGGCGAAAAGAAAGGAAGTCGCTTCCTTACAGTATTTTATTAATAGAAGGCCGACTGGCTAAGACTGGCCGACCCGCTCGTCTTATTTTGGGTCAAGGCCAATGGCAAGATGGTCTCAACTTGGGACATCGGCCTCTTGCAAACGTGTTTTCTTCGCCTTTCCGGCCGCGTGGTAGCGATTTCTTCTTCGACCCATCTCGTGACATTATTTCTGTAACCGGCCGATTCACGCACTCTCCCTCCTAGAAAGGTGATAAAGGAGAAACGCCACAAACGAAGGGAACGGGCGAGGGAAGATGCCCTCCGGCGGCTGTTGCGACGCGAGAGGAGGGGAAAGGGGAAGGGAAAGGGGAAGGGGAAGGCGGAGGGGAAGGGGGAGGGGGAGGGGAAGGGGGGGAGAGTTCTTGCATGCACGGCACGCCTTCGGGACATGTAGAGATAAAGGCGATTCCTGGCGGATGTGGACATGCGTTTCTATGACATGGTGAGCAAGAGCAAAAATGTACTCTATAAATAAAATAAACCGAACGCGATAGGAAAGAAGAAAGACGCTCCTCCATCCTCTGTTCCTCGCAGATCGACCACTTTCTATCAATCAGGCAGATTCTTTCTTTCTTAACGCTCATCGCCAAAGGATGGATCGGATTCCGCATAATCGAAAGTGTTTTCTCTTCAAAACGCGATTTGAATTTGCTCCATCCGAGCGCAACATAGGGTTTCGAGGAAAACTCAGACCGAACAAAATTTAAGACAATTCCTCGACTGTCGATGACGGACTCGTTAAAAGTAAGGCTCTACCGACGCATCGGCTTACACCGGTATCGGCCGCCGGTGTTGCACTATCGGCGCCATCGGCCATCGGCCTATGGCAACGGCGCCGGTGCCCAAAGGGCGGGCAAAGGGAAGAAAAAAATCGGTGAGGGAGTGAACTCGCCTGTCGGCCTCTCCCAGGAAAAAATATCGGTCGGATCATGTTACAACACTATTATAGGAACCGGCGGAGGAAAGTAACGGTAAAGAACGGGAAATCATCGCATCCCCATTTACGTCAAGCTTTTACAAGGGACGTCTCACCAAATGCTTTCAACTGCAGCAACGGGTAGCAAGCTAACCGCGGACAGAAGCATCGAGAGACAGACGTGTCGGACGGGACCAAAATTCCTCGCTATCGTTTCGGGGAAGCCTACTCAAATGGCTTCCGATTAGGCCGATTTGAATTTCTCGGCGATTTCTTCTACTGGCCGTGGCACCGGCACCGGCTGATGGTCGTGAGGAAAAAATCAGCCATCGGCCCACCGGCCAAATGTTGCCACCGGTACATCCCTAAGTAAAAGCTAATTACATTCGAGAAGATCCCCTTTTATAATTAGTATAAATCGGGTGATGCGTCTTCGTCGTGATTTAACGGGCGAAATTCAACGGCGTGAAAGAGGCAACGATCAGGTTAAAGGCATGTCTCTGGCAGGCCCTTTTAAAACGTCGAAAGCGGCTTGGAAGGATTCGTGCGACTGACTAGGAATTGGGTTCAAATTTGTCACTGGAATTCTGAACTTCAGGGGGGAAATGTATCTTTATGTATTTCGGGGAAAGGTACGAGCGGGAATGTTTTGATCGCGGGGCAAGGGCACGATCGCGGGGGCACGATCGCGGATCGGAAAATCAGAAATCTGACGTCCTGGATTGTTGAAGGAACTCTCAAAAAAAAAATTTAAAACTTCACGAGAACAATAAAATTACCAGTCGAGGAAACATCCTGGCTCTCTTATTCTTCCCATGAAAGTCCGAACACCACAGAATATTCCTCGATTCCCACAAATCAGGTTCCGAGAGATTGCTTCCTCCTCATTCCACGTGCGTTCCCAGTCCCAACGAGGCAGCCGACGGGTTCGATGAACTCGTGCCTGAAAAAGCATGAAGCGAACTAGGGCTAATGACCCATTATCCATCTGTTACCGCATTCACACCTCGACCTTGTAGATCTCGAATGCAGCATCCGGTCGCCCAGGCGCAACGAAGGTTCGACCGACGGAAGGCCACTCGCTTCAGGCAAGGTCCGCATTGCGAGAGCGAGCGCCCTTCGCGACGCAGACGAGAACGAGGTTGAGGCCAGTCACACCCGGCATTGCCCCCTCGCCTTCAAATCCCATGCGGACGGGTACGACGTCGCTTCTCTTCCCATCGTGCTGCTGTATGATCATTCCGAGTGAGGCGAGAAAGAGAGAGAAAGATGAATCCGGAGAGAGGACATTGGAAGGGGAGGTTTGATTTCGTCCTCTCGGCGCTGGGATTCGCAGTCGGTGAGTCTATTAATTTAAAAATCCTTCATATTAGAATTTACTACTGTATTTTTTTTTAAGAATTTCTCTGTATTTGCATGAATAAATCAGCATCCAACTGTGCTTGATTTTTTCTCTGGGAAAATTCCAGCCCAAAGCACCCAAATGGTTCTGACACGACCATATCCGATTTGCTTGCTATTTAATGATCAAAGTCACTTCTTAGAAATCCGTTCCGGCGGGATTTCAGCACTTCAACTCTTAAATGCATGTTGTGCAAGTAGCTGAAATTCGGGCTTTAAGATTTCTTCAAGGCCTTCAAGGAGAGAAAATTCCAAAATGTAATTATCATGACTTTTTTTTTGGACGAATTGGAGTGGAATTATCCATGGGAGAGTCTACAACATACAGTGCGGAAGCAATAGAAACGAACCAGATGGAACTTGTGTCGAGCGAGTTTGGTGAGATTGAGATCGCATCTCGTCTCTTCCCCCGACAGGATTGGCGAACATCTGGAGGTTCCCCTACCTCTGCTACCTCTATGGAGGAGGTGCATTCCTCGTTCCCTACACCTTCATGCTCTTCTTCATCGGGATCCCCATGTTCCTCCTTAACCTGACCCTCGGCCAATTCTCGGCCCTCACTCCCACTAAGTGCTTTGGGAATATGTCACCTCTGCTCATTGGTGAGACGGCAGGAATTTTTCGTTTCGGAATTTGAAAGAAATGGATTCGAATCAATATTTAAACACAGGGTGTCTCAAAAAAATGTATACACACTTTGATAACCGCTAATTCATACATTTTTTGTTTTTCAGTTTTCATACATTCTCAAATTTCCAGTACCACTTCAATACTAATTTGCGTTACTCAAACGTCAAGCGTACATACCCCATGTTTTTATTAAGAATTTTTCCTGAAAAACAAAAAATGTTCCAAGGTTACCCCAGCTTGTTGTGCGTGCGGGATTTCCAGAAGCACTTCCGCCTCTCAGAAGGTACCGAACTGATAAGATGAAATGCCTGTCAGTTGCTAAATGGGGAGGAGTTTCAATAATTCCTTTATTTCAGCGACAAACAAAAATAAAATTGCCAAAAGGAACGATAATATCAAGAACTACTTCGTATAAAGCGACTATCCATAACGGGTATTTTTTTGTCGTTAGTTTAGTCCACTCTGCCCAAAATTCTGTTCATGAAACTCGTCAAAAGGAATCGGGATCGCCTCCTTCGTCGGCTCGATCAGGGGCAGCATGTCCTACAACATGATCCTCGCCTGGTCTTTGTATTACTTCGGCATCTCCTTTCAACCGGATCTGCCCTGGACTCATTGCGGGCAGGACCATAACACCTATAGTGAGTCGAATTTTCTTTCTATTGTCTCATTCTTACATTTTATTTTCCCATATGCCGCTAAAAAGAAAAAATAAAAATTGCAAATTCAAGAACAACCTACCAGATATAAAGTATTGCCAATTGCAACCTAAATTTTATTGGTGATTTGAGTACACTGCGGGCTGTGGGGTGATTTTTTGTTCGTTATGGTATTGGAAAGGAAATATCAGAAATGCAATTTGAAAAAGTTGAACAATTTCTTGGAAATTTTCTTTCTTTCCGACGTAAAATTTGACTTGATATTTACTGTTTCTAGTTATGGCATTGTACGATGAGTCATCCAAGATGAATCAAGGCCATGGTTTGGAAGTTCATAATTGTATTCTGCGAAGGTGCTTTCTTGGTAAACTTTACATAAGGTTACTTAACGATCAGGTGGTGACTGGCTGGGGGGGGTCAATTAACAGGGTGGACTTTAATCGATCAGATGTATTTCAAGGAATGAGCTGTATGGAAATAGTGAACTGCTGATTCAGATTTGGAAGCAAAATACTTGAGATCAAATTTTATTTATTTCTGCTCTCATTGAGGGAGAATAAACTTACCCGGAGAAGTCACCCGGCTTCCCAGCTCCGTATGAGGCGAATGAGCATCTCCTGCTAGCCCGTACTACTTGTGACAGGCTGAGATGTAAGGGGGTTTGTGTTGCAACAGGCAGAAATGTATGGTTGCTTGAATGTTCACCTTTGTATTATCATGATTAATGTGAAAAAATGTGCTATCTTTTGCCATCAACAGGGTGCTACAGTCACACAGAAATGAGAACCTGCAGAGAACGCAATGAATCAAACGTGTACTTCAACGGATCGTGCTTTGACGCCGCGACTGCAGAGCGAGAAGGAATTTCCGAGATTTTTCCTGGCGAGAGAATCTCTGGTGAGCCAAAATGAAGTCTCGATTTGTTCTCATGCTATACCTCTGTAATCGGCGAGTATAAGCTTTCAGCAAGCGTTTCGACAAGATTAAGCCTCGAATCACTCCAATGGGCCAAAGTATTCGAAAATTGAGATCTTGCGAATCTTCGGTTTCCTCACAGCATCAGAGGAGTACATGAAGCACCGAGTTTTGGGAGTCACATCCGGTCTGGAGGAATTAGGAGGTCTCCAATGGCGACTGGTCGTGTCCTATTTCGCAACCTGGACCTTGATCTTTCTGTGTCTCTTCAAGGGAATACGGACGTCAGGCAAGGCAAGGAAAGACTTCCAAAATCCATTCCTAATCTTGTGCCTATTTTTTAAATTCACTTCCTCCCGTCCCTGGCATACATTGTGTCAATGAAAGCAGACGCATAGCCAACTGAAGGAATCAGAGGTCCAGAAGTGCGCATATCTCCTACCTTGTTGCGCAGTAAAGAACCGACCTCTCATCGACGAAAATGGGCAGGGCACATAGACACTCACATCACGTTTGTCTCTCTTGAGCCAAGCCAAGGCCAACATGGGAAAGGAGCTTCAGTGGCCGAGACGCATCTGGGCTTGAGAACGATACATTCCATGGTTTCGGAAATGAACACCCGATGACTACGTTTCGATTCTAAAGCAATGCCTGAAAAAGACCGCACATCACTATCTCTTGCATCTGCAGCCTTAGTTCCACAGAGGCAATTTTATGTCACGCTCCAAATGATTTTTGGCCAAGGCGGAGTTCCGGGTGAAGACATTCCAGTCAGGATTTAATTGCAAGTAAAGCATATTTTCTTTTACCAAACATCAAGCGACTCTGATAGCAAGCGACTATGATAGGGAAGCTGAAGGTGGGCAAGGCGACCGGCCCCGATGGGA